ACATATTCCATTTCTCTTGGACCTTTCAGCTAGCATAAGGTATAAATAGAGGTCCAAGGGTCAGAAATTGAATTCTGGAGAAAACCTGTTATCAGACTTCTCCAGAGATAGTTGTTGCTGTGCCCCAAGTCCTCTTTCCTGCTTCTATGGAGGAAGGGCTGAGAGGTGTTATCGCTCTGCAATGGAAAGACACAGAGGACAGGGGCCTGACTCATTTCCTAAAAAGTTAAACTTTATAGCCTGACGCGGTGGCTCATGCCTGTAATCCCAGCACTTTGGGAGGCCAAGGTGGGTGAATCACCTGAGGTCAGAGGTTTGAGACAGCCTGACCAATCCAGTGAAACCCCATCTCTAGTAAATACAAAAAATTAGCCAGGCGTGGTGGTGCATGCCTGTAGTCCCAGCTACTTGGGAGGCTGAGGCAGGAGAATCGCTTGAACCCAAGAGGCTGAGGTTGCAGTGAGCCGAGATTGAGCCATTGTATTCCATCCCAGGCAACAAGAGCAAAACTCTGTCTCAAAAACAAACAAAACAGTTAAACTTCACTAGGATCTAACCCATGCCAGATAAATATACACAGAGAGAGAAAGCTTGACTAACTGCTTTGATAACAGAAACAGATAGGAGAGTACAGCTGTATTGAGATAGGGTACAACCCCCAGAAATTGTGAGAACCAAGGATGTAGAGGGTTTTATCTGGATTAGATGTAGGCCAAGACTGATGGGGGTGGGGAGTCACTTTGGATAAGTTAAACTGGGGTATAGGGATAAAGGGATCTCACCACAAAAAGACTGGCCGTACACCACAGGGTATGCAGGGGCTGGGGAAGGAGCCACAGAGGAATTATGTGCAATAGAATTGTCAGTTAAGGGAACTGTGGGTGAGAGAATCCAGCAAGGAATCTTTAAAGATTCCATGAAAACACTCATGAAAGGAAAAAAAGATGGCTTTTATATTGGCCTGGTCTACCTGAAAACCTCAACTTCAAACATCAGCCATGGCTGAGGGTTTATGAAACCACCCAGATAAACAAGAACTGTACTATTTTTACACCCCCTCTGCTCTACACATCACTCTGGTCCCCGTAGAGCTAATGTAGCATGTAGGTAGTAAGAAACTAAGAAAGAGGAGCTAACACTATGCTTCCATTCCCAACCACAGGCTTCCGCACTAAAGCAAACCTCACCTGGGGGAGGATTTCACTGTTGGCAACACAAGTTCTGAAGTTTGGATTAATACCTTGGACTCTATTCTAATTACTGAATTGGCACTCTGTTTGTGATCTAAAGTGTCTGTAGACCTGAAGAGATGTAATGGCTTTGCCAGAGGTTATGTCCAGGAACAGATGAAAATTATGCCAAACTGTAATAAAGAATAAGGAGGACACACAGAGAAAAGAAATCCTTTTTTGCTTACATTATAAACTTATACGGAACACACTGGTTAGAAATAGGTTGGTTTTTTAGTTAGTAAAATGAATCCCTTCCTAAAGTAATTTTATGTAGAGTCAGACTAAGAAAAGTCAATATGTGCTATCCCCAGCAGCCTGTGGGACAATCTGAATTGTTTATGCTTTACAGGGAAAGAAGTGTGTGAAGAATAAAGTAGTAGCAGTGGCCCATAAAAATACTGCCTTATGGCCTGTTTTCCTGAGAATGTGTCTAAGCTGATTTTATTAGGGAGGAAGAGTGACTGCCAAAGACAACAGAGGTGCCCCATTAATACTTGAAATATTAGAAAATGTGTTCAGATAATAGCTTGAACCCCTAGATGTGCCAAGAGGAAGGGAGACAGCAGGCTCTTAAACAGTGCTGTTAAAATTCACACTTATTTAAAATCCAGCAATTAGCTAACAAACCTTGGTGACAGACTGCTATGAATTTTGTGCTGACTCCATAGACATAAATTAAACCATTCCAAGTTTCCCACGTGTAGCTTTTGACATTTGTTTTGTACAAGTAAGCTGGCCATGGGGAGGCATAAACTTTGCTTTTAATTCCTTTGGCAACTGAGCTGTGGATCACTTTGTTAAATTTCTTGAAAGAGATTCAAAAGCTCTTTTTTGAAGATAAAAAATGTTGTCTCCATGGCATGTTAAGCTCTAAAATGTATTCTAATATGAGTAGTTTTCAAAATGATTTTTAGATCTGACTGAAGACAGTTAAATATTATGTAACTATGGTATATACAGTCATGTGTCACATAACCATGTTTTGGTCAACAATGTCCTACGTATAAGAAGATGATCCCATAAGATTAGAATACTATATTTTTACAGTTTCTATGTTTAGATACACAAATGCCACTATGTTACAACTGCCTACAGTATTCAGTACAGTACTGTATAGCTCTGTAGCCTAGGAACCATAGTCAAAACCATTTAGCCTAGGTGCGTAGGAGGCTATAACATCTAGGTTTATCTAAGTATACTCCATATGTTTGTACAGTGACAAAATTGCCTAAGGATGCATTTCTCAGACATATCTCAATCATTAAGTGACACAGGACTGTAATTTTTTTTTCCAATCAAGTGCTCCTATAGGTACTTTGGATAAACCAATCAAAAAAGTAGATAAAAACCCCGAAGAACTACTCCCCCGTACACACACACACACAGACACACACACACACACACACACGCGCGCGCACACACACACACACACACACATATCCTGCAGAGAAAGACAGAAAAAAAAAAAGATGTTGAATTTCAAGAATTTCCAAAATGTAAGTCTCTAACACAAAAGCATAATACCTCAAAATTAAGTATAAAATCAAAAATTTTACTTATAAACTTTTTGCTTTGATTTATGGTCATTAGTCTAGTTCTCTTTGAGCTATTCAAGCATAGGCTATTTTTCTACTCTGTAAATTCCCTGCAAGCCTAGCAAAATAGTGAGGATATAATAGGTCCTCAGTAAATGTAGGATTGAATTAAGCAACATGGCAGTAAAAATGGTCCATTTTTAAATGCTGAGTATAACATCATATTGAGTAATTAAGTAAACATTAATTATTTCAAAAATAATTATTTAGCATCAAGGCACTGATTGATAAAAGGTTTTCTAACTAAATTGGGCCTTAGTTTAGACTTTCCTTACTGTGAATGCTGTCTTTGACTCAGCAGCATTAATCCCATTAATGATCCATCTGAGAACTACAGACAAATCAGACTCTGTATTTTAACAAAATTCCCAGGTGGTTTATACACGCATTACGATTTGAGAAGTGCTAATTTATACCACTGGTTTTCAACCAAAACTGCTTGTTAAAATCATCTGGTGTTGTTTTTCAAAATACAAAAAAGGTGGGGGGGTGCCCTCTTCCTGGGCCATACTCTAAAGCAATTAAATATGCATATGAGTCCAGGGATGAAGTCTCTTTTTTAATGCTCCATGTAGTTCTCAGGTGCAGCCAAGTTGAGAAACATTGATTTGAACATAATAATGAGATATATGCTGGCTATGCTGGAATTCTCTGAATAGAAATAAATGAAATTGAACTTTGAAATTAAATCAGAGGAAATAAACTTCTAATACTGTATATTAAAACTCCTGTAAGGCATTACTTAATACCCTTCAGATTTAAGAATCACATGGAAAGACACATTAGTCTAAACATGCCCTCTAAGGTTCATAAATGCAGTCCAACAAAACATCCTATACTTACTCTTTGACTCAAAATCATCTTAAGCAGTTAGCCTCAGTATGCAGACTAAAACTGAGGTTCAGAGCAAAGTTCTGAAAATTAAAGCAAACTTTCTTTACTGAGCATAAAGAGGAGCAAATGTTGTGTCATATTTCATCTTTAAAGCCTGGAACACTGTTTTCCCTTAGGAAAAATCAATTGAATCAATCCTCCCATCAAGTAAATTAATATCTCATTATGATTTAGATTATTGTTAAAAATTTGGCCGAGTATTCCAATTTGTTTTCATAAATCACCATAACTATATAGCACATCCAGAAAACTCCATAATGAATAAATATTCTCCAAGCATATGATAACTAAATTGACCTAATATTTTGTGTTAATTCACCCCATCAATAAAATGACTTTCAAAAATGAAAGTTTTTTTCCTAAAATCTAAATAATACAGTTGCCTGGATATATCATGTTTTTTGACAGTATTGGTAGAACAAAGATAAGAGATGATTTTTTCACATTAAATGAGGAATCCAAAGAGTCTGAGCAAAAAAACCTTGTATTCATAATAGATATATCATATCTATGAATTCTATTTTTAATTCTGTCATGGAGAAAAAGGTAAACCAAAACTCAAAAGAGAAGGTAATTAAAATAATTAAAATGATTTATTTTCTTATTTAGTCCTTTAATCAACCTAAGGAAGTAGGTATTATTATCCCCACTTTCCAGAAGAGGAAACTGATATACAGAGAGGATAGATATGTGGCAAAGTAACACTTTATTGAGTAAAATCTTATAATGATTCAACTCTTAGAGCCTTTGCAGTCAGACCGACCTCTGTGAGAATCTCTAATATACTACTGGTTATCAAGACTACTCCTTAACAAACAGGAGTGGAATTCCAGAAGTCTAGACATAGAAACCTACAAGAAATATCTAGTGAACCTTAAAAGGTATCTGGGATCCCTGTCTGATGCCAACTGCTTTGTCTCTGTCTCCCAAAGTGTTCTGGTCTACATCAAGGCTATTCAGGTGTGTTAGAACTCACTAGTTATATTCAAGTATACAGGATATCATCAATGCTTTCTAAGGATATAATCAGGCTTGCATCATTTTCACTTTATAAATAAGTCAAACTTCAGGGCTTTTTTCATATTTTTTAATCAAAAAGGGAACCATTGAAGATAAAAGAGAAAACATAAAAAGCTCTTGCTCTTTAAAGATTCACAAACAAGGTTACTTAAGTATGACATAACTTTGCTCATTTTAAGAGCTGGCCTGGAAACATTTCTTTGTTCAATAACAGAGTCAAGTCTTATCTCAGATGATTTTTTAACCTATTATTTTTCAGCAGATGCATCTGTGTAAGATGTAGTAATATCAAATGTTACGTTCTTCAGTGTTGGAGTTTACTGGTCACTCAAACTGCAGAGTCCACAATTGCAGGCAGTACTATTCAGATAGAGTAAGAATCAAATGGGGACCCAGGAGGTGTGTGATGCGATGGCCTCATACGAAGGGTAGGTGGCTCTTTCTTCCTTATTTTTCATGGTAAGTATTGAAAAAGCATCAAGAGTCAGCAAAGTATGTCTCACAGGACAAATCCAGCCCACCTCCTGATTCTCTAGAGCCATGAGCAAAGAATAGTTTTAACATTTTTAAATAGTTCAAAAATTCAAAAGAAGAATATTTCATGGAACATGAAAACTGTGTAAAATTTAATTTTTAATATCCATAAATAATTTAAAAAAATAGCCATGTTCATTCATTTACTTATGGTATACAGCTGCTTTTAAGCTACACACCAGAGAGTTTGGTGTACACCATGGCAGAGGTGAATAATTGTGATAGAGACTGTACAGTGTAAAAAACATACAATATTTACTATCTGGCTCTTTAAGCAAAGGTTTGCCAACCTTTCTCTGACACAATAATGAAAAAAAAAAGTCTTTCAGCTTGGCAAATATGGCAGTGACTCTGCTAATTGTCCTTTCTTTTGGCCTGAAAATAAACCGAATCTCTACAAGCTTCTGTTTTCTTCTATGTATTGTGGGACTAAAGAATTGGCTCATAGGAAAGAATTCATTTAGCAGACTGTTTTGCACATGAAAAGCACTTAATAAATTAATGTTTTCCTTAAGTCGGAAGTACTTAGCACCCTTTCTTCTTCTCTCTCGGAACAAAATTGTACTAGTCCTTCAAAAGCATAAGAAAATACTGTATTTTCACGCAATCTTCCATGACTGTTAGTTTAAATTAGTTGCTCCCTCTATGTTTCCACAGCATTCTGTTGACCAGGCTGTTGTATTATGATCCTTGATCTATCTTGTACTTTGGTTATGTCTAAGACCCTTCTTAAATGCAGAAGTTATTACTTCTTAAATGTACAAATCATTTCTTATTAATTTTATGACTTGCATAATGTTAAGCACAGATAGGGCCTTATATTTAGAAGACATTCAATGTTTACTGAACAAATGAAAAACTGAACGAAGGTGAAAATGAACAACCGTGTGAGGGTATTTAAGTAGGTTTACTGCCTTCCCAAATAATAGGCAACATGTTAACTGAGAGTTTCAGTCACAGGAATGTCAGGGAAAGGCTTTCTCCAACCAGTATCAAATACTAGACTCTGTCTAATTTATATCCTGCTATATTTTGCCTATGAAAACGTATATTCCACTTGGCTTTATGGTATAAATTAAAATATGTCATAGCAATAGCAACTGCCAGAATCAAAAGAGGCGCTTAGTGAGAAAATCATAGCTAATAAAATGAATAGCTTAATTAGAAACTTTGAATACATTCCATTTTTTTTTTCTGCTGTTCCATCAATTTTACTCCACCCTGTATTAAACCCAAATGGCTTTATTAACCACATTCTTATCAAAAGTCAATTTGCTCTACCTTTAAACATACACACACACATACATACATACACACACACAGAGACACAACCACTTCACACATGCACAAATACACTGTTAAAAAGCTAATAAAAGGAAAAGAAACTCAGGAAAAAAAAAACCATGAAGTAATTTATATCTCAATAAAGTTCTTATTAAAGTTAAAAGCAATAAAAACCTGAATTATAAAAGGGAAATAAATCTCTTCTCATTGGTTATTTGCTTCAAGGGACCAATGTCTTGAGGAATCAGATGTTTCATGCTAATTTAAATTTTTGGCACCTGTAGGCTTCGATTACGTGAAAGCTGAAAGATTGCTTTCTAAATAATGGCAACGGATTTCCTGACAATGCAAAGAACAGATGCCACCAACGTAAGCAATGTAGGTTTAATTGAGTCTTAGTCCTTGGAGAGGTGATTTTGTCTGAGAGGGAATCACAGGTTACACAGTTGATGAATGCACCTTAGATAACTATGCTTGACTGGCTGGTAGCATGGCATCTACAAGAAGAACCCCCATGTATCATCGCAATGCCATGTTCCATCTTTATGCCAAACACAATGTGCAAAATATAGCTGCAGCCCCCATCTAAAATTCCCATGCATTACACTTTTCAGTGGCCATAGATTAAAGGTATTTCAATACATGTTAGTTATTTTCATTTCCGATGAGAGTTTAATAAGAAGATTATAGCTTCTCTTTTTAATGAGAATATTAACAACATTAGAAGGGGCTGAGAAGATTCTCCAAGTCTATGCAAGAGACTACATTTGTATATGTCTCTATACCTATCATCTATTTGTCGTCTACTTAAATTACAATCCAGTCCTCTCTTTTTCTGTAACATATCAGTGGAGATGTTATAGTAGTAAATTTGCATTTGTGGACATTTATAAACATTTGATTAAAACCATGGATGTCCCCTCCTGAAAATATTCATACGCATATATACAAATTTGCAGTATAATTTTACCTAAACCTATTCAAGGACTCCCAATGTTAGAAATTTTATAGAACATTTTAAATTATAAAATATAATTTCTGTGCTATTCAAAATAATAGAAAACCGTTATAGATAATTTTGCACCAAAAATCACAGATTTCTCACAATGCATCTTTAATAAGTTTAACATAAATCATAGTTCTCCTTCCAAATCACATACTCTCTATTGCAGGCGTCCCCAAACTTTTTACACAGGGGGCCAGTTCACTGTCCCTCAGACCGTTGGAGGGCCGCCACATACTGTGCTCCTCTCACTGACCACCAATGAAAGAGGTGCCCCTTCCTGAAGTGCGGCGGGAGGGCAGATAAACGGCCTCAGGGGGCCGCATGCAGCCCGCAGGCCTGGCCATAGTTTGGGGATGCCTGCTCTATTCTATGAGGTGCTTCACCTCCCACTTTCATTTGTAAGAATCCTTTCTATTTCTATTTGAGTGTTCTTGTTCCCTCAAGGGATGAGTATCTCAGTTGTAAAGATAAAGCTTTTATTTTAAAACAGGAATATACAATTTAGTACAATATTGTGAAATCTAAGAAGTTCTTCCTAATGTTTAACTTTAATATTTCCTATGCCTGATGTAGCTATTTTCCTTGTCACTTCTGCATCATAGGCTAGAGGATTATAAACTGATTACCCAGACTGCACTTCTCTGCCCTGCATACTAGCAAATTTTGCTGCTTCCAATTTTCCACGAAGAGCTCATTCTTCAAGCATCGACTCTTCACCATCTGGGGTGCTGTGGTGGCCTTTATCTAAAACTAGACTTAACACCAGACCTCTAGATGTGGGTTTTCAAATGGAATAAGAGGCTATGTGGGATAGATAGCTCTTTTCCTTCATACTACGTGAGGGCTGATACAGTTTGGATATTTGTCCCTGCCCAAATCTCATTTTGAAATGTAATCTCCAATGTTGGAGGTGGGGCCTGGTGGGAGATGTTTGAATCATGGGGGCAGATGCCTCATAAGTGGCTTGGATTACCCCCTTGATGATAAGTGACCTCTCTGAGTTCACAAGAGACCTGGATATGCAAAAGTGTGTGGCTTCTCCCCTGTGTTGCTCCTGATTTTGCAATACGATGTGCCTGCTCCTCCTTTGCCTTCTGTCATGATTTTAAGCTTCCTGAGGCCTCCCTAGAAACCAAGGAGATGCAAGCACCATGCTTCTTGTCAAGCCTGCAGAACTGTGAGCCAATCAAAACTATTTTCTTCATAAATTACCCAGTCTCAAGTATTTCTTTATAGCGATGGAAGAACAATATAATGATTGCCTACTTTAATAAAGTTTGAACTTTGTATGCAAATGGTAAACATTACAAAAGCATTATATTTTTATGTATTATTTCTTTTATTTATTTAGTTTTGAGATGGAGTCTCACTCTGTCACACAGGCTGGAGGATAGTGGCGTGACCTCAGTGCACAGCAGCCTCCGCCTCCTGGGTTCAAGCAGTTCTCCTGCCTCAGTCTCCCTAATAGCTGGTATTACAGGCACATGCCACCACACCTGGCTAATTTTTGTATTTTTAGTAGAGATGGGGTTTCTCCAGGTTGGCCAGGCTGGTCTCGAATTCCTGACCTCAAGTGATCTGCCTGCCTTGGCCTCCCAAAGTGCTGGGATTACAGGCATGAGATACCACACCCGGCCCTACTAAAACATTTTTAAATAGTAAAAATCACACACTAGAGCATTAAAGAATTTTTTTTTTTTTTTTTTTTTTTTTTTTGAGACGGAGTTTCGCTCTTGTTACCCAGGCTGGAGTGCAATGGCGCGATCTCGGCTCACTGCAACCTCCGCCTCCTGGATTCAGCCAATTCTCCTGCCTCAGCCTCCTGAGTAGCTGGGATTATAGGCACGCACCATCACGCCCAGCTAATGTTTTGTATTTTTAGTAGAGGCGGGGTTTCACCATGTTGACCAGGATGGTCTGGATCTCTTGACCTCGTGATCCACCCGCCTCGGCCTCCCAAAGTGCTGGGATTACAGGCTTGAGCCACCGCGCCTGGCTAAAGAAAATTTTTTTAAAATGCCTCTCTTCCAAATATCAGCAGTTGTAACTAACTTTTTATTCTCCTGGCTTTTTATCTACACCCAGTGTTACCAGATGTAATGAATATATATACAGCCATTTGTCGATCTTATATACAGTATTGATTAAATGTGATCTCTGGAGACAGACTCTCCACATTTGAATCCCAAACCCAGGGGTTATCAGCCCTGAAATCTTGCTCAGTTCCTTCATGCGTAAAGTAGGGATAATAATAGTACCTACCTAATAATATTACTGTTAGGCTTAATAAATGTAAAGTGCTTCAAAGTCTTTCACATATTAAAAGAGCCTAATAAATGCTATATTTATTATGACTCATTATTTAGTTCCTCTATATAATACTAGGTTGGGAGCTAATTTTCTGCAGTTGCAGAGTCTATTCAATAACTCTTAATGGCCACAGAATATTTCTTTACCTCTTGGCATGTCAATTCATTTAGCAATTTCTATACCATTTGGTATTTAAATTGTTTCCATCTTTTACTATTACAGCTAATACTACAAAGAATATCTTCAGACATATAGTTCTTTTTTTTCTTCTTTGAAATGATTTTATTAAGACAGATTTCTATGAGTTTAATAAATGGCTGAAAGTCTGAATATTGTTAGTGAGTCCTATGTTATAAAGAGAAATGACACTGACATCTATTCAGGTTAGTGGCTTGGTGTTTCATTAATGAACACGGAATATTTGTAATACTGTAGTATTACTGAAAAAGAATAACTTTCGTAGGTCACAATTTCAATTTTGTATTCCACATCCTCCTGCGTTTCAAGGTCAATGGAGTCAACACCCAGTGGTTTTCAATAGAAATCTTTCACAATATAAAATTCAAGGCCCTTTTGCTCTGATGACCACAGAGTTCTTTTTCACAGAAATAAAGCTTTTCCTGATGGTCTTGGAACAATTTCCCACAGCTCAATGAAAAGCAAACTCATTTTTCTTCTCTCCAAGGAGCCTCAGGCTACATGTAATATGGCACTTAATTTCCTGCACCTTAGTTGGTAACTGTTAAATCAATTCATGAGCAAAGAACTGGACTTTCTTGAAATTCTCCACTCATGTTATCCCAGTATATCAACATTTCATAAAATCCCTTTCTCCCCTTCTATCATTTGGCAAAGAAAGGAAAAAAAATTCAATCTAAGTTACTATGAACATGTCTCATGAAAGGTACCATGAGAGAAATAAAGATGTTAGGTGCATTGCAGGAGCTGACAAACTAATTCTGAATGAGCCAAGTCACCAAAAAATAAGAAAATTATTATATCTTATACTTTATGTATCCTTCATAATTTCAGCAAAGGTAAACTAAATTGACAAATGTTTCTACACTTATATGACCTATATATTCCTCCAGATTATAGGAAAAAACAATGCTATGCTGAAATTTTTAAAAGAAGAAAAAAAGGAAAGAGATAAATAGATGGAGGGAAGGCAAGTGAGAAGGAAGGAAGGAAAGGAAGGAAGGAAGGGAGGGAGGGAGGGATGGAGGGAGGGAAGAAAAATAAAAGAACTCACTAATCAAATGGGAAGAATAACAGGGAGACATAATGGGTATAGGTAGGATGTTAGAATTCCACCAAAAACACTTCAAATTCAATTTAAATTGAATTGATATGCAGGTTTTTCTTGCCCTTCTGAGTTTCTCAGGTAGTATATTGGCAGGCAGCCTCATTCCCTGCAGTAAGGATGGTTCTTTAGAAAACTGGACCAAGATCAATCGATTAGACATTGCCACAGGTTTTTTTTTAAATACATATTCTCTTGCACTTTAGGTTCTGGGGTACATGTGCAGGACAGTTGCATAGGTACATACATGGCAATGTGGTTTGCTGCCTCTGTCCCCCGTCACCTGTATCTGGCATTTCTCCCCATGTTATCCCTCCCCAACCTCCCTACCCCGTGCTGTCCTTCCCCATTCCCCCCGCAACAGACCCCAGTGTGTGATGCTCCCTTCCCTGTGTCCATGTGTTCTCACTGTTCAACACCTGCCTATGAGTGAGAACATGTGGCGTTTGGTTTTCTGTTCTTGTGTCAGTTTGCTGAGAATGATGGTTTCCAGATTCATCCATGTCCCCACAAAGGACAAGAGATCATTTTTTATGGCTGCATAGTATTGCATGGTATATATGTGCCACACTTTCTTTATCCAGTCTATCACTGATGGGTATTTGGGTTGGTTGCAGGTCTTTGCTATTGTAAACAGTTCTGCAGTGAACATACGTGTACATGTGTCTTTATAACAGAACAATTTATAATCCTTTGGGTATATACCCAGTAATGGGATTGCTGGGTCAAATGGGATTTTTATTTCTAGGT